CTAGTGGCTCACACTTACAAGTCATAAAGTGCACATTGTGCTCAATTCCTGTCAAAATAAAATTTAGTAACTTCATTGCAGTACATGTACTCTACCATCTTCATCTAAGCAACGAATGATAATTTCTTCCTTTGACTCACAAGGATGTGGCACCAAAACATTAATCTTAATTCCTCCAATTTCCACTGGTCTCCAGCAACCATCATCCTAATAATTATAATTGAATGTACACATGTCATCAAATGTAACTTTCAACATTCAAATAACCTTCCAGACTGGAGTATGAAAAATATTTCTTTTTGAATGGCAATGAAACCAGCATTCTTTACAGTAGAAAGCATGAGATCCACAATGCTGACACCACATTTCTGCTTCAGAAGAACATTCCATGCAGGGTTGATCATCCATCACTAATGATTCAATGCATGCATTTCTTAGTTGACACCTCATATTTTCCCAAGCAGATGCAGCATGTCTTTCCTTAACATCATATAAACTCTCAAAATGAGCATCATCATCATCATCAGTTGGGATAGGTAGACCCACCGTTTCTTCCTCAATCTTATTAGTTTTTTTTAATGGTTCATAGGTAGTGGTTGTTCTTGGAACCTTAGACATAGATCTATTACTTGACAGTGCACTAGATGTCCTTTTTCTCACCCTTAGTAATGGCAACTTGATGTTAATAGACATAATCTAGATGTAATGAAAAACTAAGTGTAGGCTATCACTTACTTATCAGAAAATTCAAGAGGATCACTGCAAATGGATGAATCAGTCAGTTGTAGCTCAAGATTCTGTAGTCTGTAGCTACACCCTTCTTTAGTTAATTGCTAGTTATAAATTTTAGGTTTCCAATTATGCATGATAGAGTGGTAGGAAAACGTTTCCTGTTTTTCTATTACATTTGCTTCAAAAGGTTTCCGGATCGGGTGCACCAACTATGCAACATAAGACCACACCCATTTATCCAAAATTCATAAAATGAGTTCCAGTCGTGGTGCCAGTAGAAAATCTCCTGCTGGTTCTACTAGACTCAAGCCAAATGCCAACTTCTTCCGGCAATTCTCCTAGTCAAAGTGATGGGGTAGGTAAGGAGGGGACTGTACCAGAAACAAGCTCGTAAAACCGGTTCACTGAACCTGTCAAACACTGAGGTAGGAGCCTGTGTGAGACTTGTAACATTTTTTTTAATTTACTAAAAATTACCTAATGGTTTTTTTAATTTTCATTTTATAATGCTTTAATGAACATGTGAATGTATGAAAGTTAGTGGGTGGTAAATTAGATCTATTTAATGATTCAATGTCATTGTGAAAAACTTTAATATTGATGCATGTCATGCACCATTGAACCAACACGTTTTTCCACATGGTACTGTGGCTCTTTTGGGCTTTTAGACCCACCCCTGACGCACATGGCTAGCCCATGATGGCTGACAGTGGAGGTCTAGATCGAGTACTAGATGGAGATGATAAAGAAGTCTTTCGAGGATTTCTAATGAAGAATCATTTAGGAGAGATGATATCAATTCTAGAGGCATCAGATCCAACATTGTTCTACTCAATGTGGGTTAATCTCAGTCTCTGTAACATTTATTTATAGACTTGTTTATTATTAATGTGTAGCTGCAGTAAGTTGGCTAACTGTATGATTGGATTGTGGGAGAAGTTGTACAGAAATCCTCTAGACACTTTGCCAAGTAGGGGCGTGGTTGACAAAAATAATTAATTAAATTTAACTACTTGCTAGTATTAAGGAAGGCACTAATATTGTATCTTATGAGATTAGGTGAATGTTGTAGCTAGTAGAGGCAATAATTGTGTCATTTTTATTAAGCATAATATTGATAATGATGTTTTTATTGTGTTATAGATATTGAAGGATAATGTTGAAGTGAGAGTTCATAATCTTCCATCATTTGAGGAATATACCAGAGATAGAGCGCCATTAGCATCTGACGTAGGGAAATTTCTATCTTTTAATGGTCAGTACATAAGATACTATTGTTATTATAGAGCCAGTTGGTGCTAAGTATATTCATAGAAAATTGAGTATATTCATTGTGATACCGTAAATAAAGTAAAATTTTCCTGCTGCCATTTTGGAGTCTT